GTTTTCAATTTAAAGTCATGTTAGATGAGTTTGATGCTCAAGATGGTTTAAGAAAACTATACAATGTGGTAAGTAGAAAGAAGTTTATGATAAAGTCTTGGAAATAATAAAGTAATAAACTCATTTTTTCTTTTATGTTAGATTTCGGTTTTGAAAATCCTTAATCCCTCCAATAATGATGATGACGATAATAATGAACTGAACGAAGATGTGGAATGTGCTTCCCGCCAAATGGTGCGTCATGTTTGTGTGGCTTTAAAGCGTTATATGGAATCCCATCTTTTCTATAAATACAACAACTTTATGTGTCAACAATATCCGGTATCAAGTGAATTTAATCGCAACATTACTAAAGCTGCCAAATCTACGGTAGAACAAATCAATGAACAGATACGTACGCTTCAAGAAAATACCTCGGTAAGAGCCCATTGGGCTCCTGTAGATCAGCTCTTGAAATTGGGTGGCATAACTTTACTGCTAAAGATTATTGCTTTCTCTTATGATTGGAATAATGGTGGCCGCTCGGAAACGGTGCGTACTGCTTTAGATGTTCTCTCTATATGCTGTGTTATACCACGTGTTTACGTGGCCTATTGTGATCTATTAGAATTGCCCGATCATGTCACTACTTCGGGTATTTATTCCATATTGGGCGCTGCTGCTGGTGATATAGTGCCCGATGCAGATGTACAAAAATCTGCCTTGGCAGTGCTATGTAACTGTGTTTGCTCTCCTATAGCCAGGGTAAGTTTTAAAGAAATCTTTAATCAGAAGGAGTTTATACTTAAATGTTTTCCTTTTCTTTGTAGAAAGAACCTAATAGTCTTATCAAATGCTTTGGTTCCTCCAAGAAAAATAAACATAATAACAAATACAGCGAGGAACTAGTGGAAAAAGTATGGGAATCAGTTTGTTCCAACAATGGCATTATTGTTTTACTTTCCCTTATGCAAATAAAAACACCCATTACCGATGCTGATTGCATACGCGGCATGGCCTGTCGTGCTTTAGCAGGTCTAGCACGTTCAGAACGTGTCAAACAGATTGTAGGCAAACTGCCTCTATTTGCCAGTGGTCAAATACAAACTTTAATGCGTGATCCTATACTACAGGAGAAAAGAGCTGAACATGTTATATTCCAGAAATATGCCTTGGAACTACTAGAGCAGGTTTCGGGTAAAACTAAACCATTCAGTCATCAACTGGATCCCACCTTGGCCAATATACACAAGGCCAATATAATAGCACAAACCAAAATACAATATAACGAACAGCAGCTATATCAATTGATCTATGATCATTTGGAATCTAAAGGACTTTCACAAACCGCCCAAATGTTGCAAAAAGAAGCTGGTCTACAGCTGCCCTCAACAACCACCAAAAGTTTTCATCAATCGCCGTTTGATTATAAGGTATTGCCCACTAGTTCTATAGCACGTAATCGTTTGCGTAATCGTATGCAGGATGTTAATCAAGCTATAAACAGTGCTACCAATCAAACACCACCTAGTAGTAGCTCAGCAACTAATAGTGGAGAATTGTTAAATGGCAGTTTTAGTGAAGACCAGGTCATGAATACAGTGACCCCCATTAAATTGGTCAAGAAAATGGAGAAAACAAATCCACCCTCTAGCACTACATTAAACACTACCAACAGTGCGGTGCCCAAGTCAACTTTAAACAATGCTAATCAACAAAGATCTTTGCAAAAACAAATTTCCGTAGTGGATCCCAATAGCTTAATGGAAGTTGGCTCACCACCTTCTACTACGGGTATTTCTTTGGGTACCATTGTCACTGAATACTTAACAAATCAACATGCTCTTTGCAACAATCCCATGACTACTTGTCCTCAATTCGATTTGCTTACACCTCACAAATGTCCCGATCCCAAACCCAATCGTGTTTTAGGCGACAATCTTAATGTAACCAATCGTTTCTTTAGAGCACAAGCCGGCTATAATACCCGTAAAATGAATAGACGTTTTGTGCATTCCTACTTTGCTCCTTGGCGTACTATACGTTCTACCGATAGTAATGAAATCAACTTTTCCTCCTGTCATATTGTACAAAATTCCGATCTTCTACTGGTGGGCACCCATCAGGGCGAGGCTAAGGCCTTTAATATTAATCATGCCACGGAAGAGTTTTCCTCTCGTTGTCATAGTTATATTATTGATTCTATACAATCGAATCGTACCGGAGACTTGGTGTTAACTTCAGCCAGCTGGCGTTCCCCTTTAAGTGTTTTGTGGTCTATTAAGGATTCAGATTTTGTGTCGAAAATACAATTTAATGATGAGTTTTATTGTGAATTTAGTAAATTGTCACAGGACAAAATCATAGGCACACAAAATGATGTAAGTTTTCTCCTTACTTAGTTACAAACAAAAGATTTTTATTCTATTGAATTTGTTTACAGTGTTGTACTATTTATGATATAGCCAAGGGTCAACTGATATCAACATTTACACCTACATTGGGTAATCAATATAGTAAAAATCGTGCTACCTTCTGTCCCACCGATGAATTGGTATTATCAGGTTTGTTTTTTCCATTTTAAACTTTCTTTATAGAGAAATTAAAGTGTTTCTTTAATAGATGGTGTTCTTTGGGATGTGAGATCTGGCAAAGAAATACATAAATTTGATAAATTAAATCAATCCTTATCAGGTGTCTTCCATCCAAATGGTTTAGAGGTAAGAACAAAACTATGAACTAAAAAATATAAATCTAAAAAAAATGTTTTGTCATTTCCAGATTATTTCCAATACAGAGGTATGGGATTTGCGCACATTCCATTTGCTGCAAACGGTACCGGTGTTGGATCAGTGTCTCTTGAAATTCTCTCCCCTCAACACTATATATGGCATACGTTTGGAAATGGAATACCGCAACGATTTCGATGATACAACCAATTACGATACCAGCTTTAAGGTTCTAGATGCCTACGATTATTCCTCGATATCGACCATAGATGTTAAACGCAGCCTATTTGATTTGAGTGTCAATGGTAATGGCAGTCTAATAGCTTTGGTGGAGGATCAACCCTCATACGAGACGAAATCCGAAACATTTGTGAAGATATATTGTGTGGGCATGAAGAAAACCGAACAAGACGAAGAGGTGTGTGATATGAATACTGAAAATCTTGTTAACAACAGTAGTTCTAACCAATTACCGAACTTGACTCGTTTATATGAGAATTCGGGTGCAAGTGACGGTGGTATGGGTAGGACAACTGGTAGAGAAGGGGCTAGTATTAGCCTTTTCGGTACGACGGCTGCCAGTGGCAATGGCGGCGTCGGTGGTCATGCTGCGCCGCGCCCCAGGGCTGCTGGCGGCGTTAACGATGTTGGCGTTGGAAACGGTAACGGTGGCGGCGGTGGTGGTGGTAATGGTGCTGTGGGCAATGGTGGCGCAAATGCTATAGAAGCTAGGAATGCTAATCAATTCGCTATAAGATGGCATGGCAATAATGTCGAAATAGTGCCGCCACATTTGGTGGGTCAAAGACAGCGTCAGTCACAGATACAACCCCAGCCTCAGCCACGTAATCATCATCATCATCAACAAAACCGCACCATTAACAATAGTAATAACAACAATAACAATCGTGACGCTGACCTAAGAGCCGCCCTAGCGCCCGACCCTATTGAGGGTGTTGGAGGCGGTGGCGGCGGCGTTGGTAATGCAGGCAATGGCGGCGCGGGCGCAGCACAGGCCGATGTTAATAATGATCTCTATGATGATTTGTTTGATTTGGATGATATAGCAATAAATATATTGTCTCTGCTTGTAGGAAGATGAAGAGGAGTGTGAGTCCGACGAGGACAATTCAGACAGTGATGCCTCAGGCAATGGTAAACTTAAAACTTTATTTAAGGAAAATATACTAATTAATTTGCATTTGCAGTATTTGGTTTACGATCTGATGATCAAATGCGTAATGGCAGAAGACGCCGCAATCAAGAAGATGATGATGACGACGACGATGATGATGACGATGATGATGATGACGACGATGATGACGATGACGACGACGATGATGATGACAATGACGACGACGATGATGATGGTGGCTGGATAGATATTGATATGGATGATGATGATGAAGATATACCCTTAAATAATTTCCGTTTTATTGATTAGAATTTGAAATACACTTCAACTCCTTCCTCTCAACTACCAACTACCTAGTCTATCTTCTTCTTCTGCCAGGTGTAAATGATAGCAACTTTATTTTGGTCACACATTTGTTTGTTAAATGTTAACAAAAAAAACAGGAATTATGCAAAAACATTTCCTTTTAATCTTCTATCTTCCCTAGTTAATGAATGTCTGTTCATTTGTTGTTTGTTCTTCTATTAAAACAAATCATTTTTCTTTTAATTTAACTATTCCTCCCCCCAAAAAAAGAAATAAATAATTTTAGTTTTAAGTATTGTTTAATTATAAAATACATATACAATTTATTCATTTTTTTCTATACAACATTTAACTTTTTTTTACATTTTTTTGTTACATAAATTAATATTTTTTTATATATTATAATTTAAATATTATTTAACAATTTAGTATGTGTACAAAAAACAGCATCCAGGAAAAAAAAACATTATTTCGAATTATTTGTATTTTCTTTGCAAGTTTATTGTTAATTTAATCTTTTTCTCTCTTAACTTAAACTAAACTATAATAAATTATGTTGAATGATTATTATTTTGTATGTAAAAAAATGAAAGCAAAACGTTTAAATATATATAAAACATTTTAATACAAAAAAGATTAAACTATATTTAGTATATTGTCTAACAAATAGAAACAAAAGAAACATATTAAAACTTAAAGAAAACAAAAAACTATAAATTATACAAAAATAACATAAAAATAATAACAGTTATATATTTAATTTAAGTCAATATTTGATGAACATTTAAAAACAAAGAAATTGTAAAACAATTTACTTGCATTTTTTATAAGCAAATAAAAAAACCTAATGAAAAAGAAATTTATTTGAAATTATAAAGTGTGTTTTAAAATTTTGGAAATTGAAGAGGAAAATTTATGTTTTTTTTTAATACAAATTATGCGTTTTTAAAGAAGACGTTTTGCACACTGCATTACCCAATAACTGCGTTATCAACCGTAAAATAAACAAGTACGAATTCTATATTCGGTTGTACCGAATCTCATATGCCATTTAAAATACAATCAGTAGAACAACTAGAAGAGCACTAGAAAAGAACTAAAACAGAACTAGAACAGAACTAGAACAGAACTAGAACTGAACTAGAACAAAGCTGGAACAGAACTAGAATAGAACTAGAACCGAACTGGTACAGAACAGTAACAAAACTAAAACCTAACCTGAAAAAGAGCAGGACTATAACTGAACAAGAAATGAACGAGAATAGAACTGCAACTGAACTAGAATAGAGTTAGAAAAGAACTAGAACTGTAATAAAACAGAACTTGGATGGAACTAAAATAGAACTAGAATTGAACTAGAACTAGAATAGAAATAGCACAGAACTAGAACAGGACTAGAACTAGAAAATAACTAGATCAGAACTGAACAAGAAATGAACGAGAATAGAACTAGAACTGAACTAGAACTTACTAAAACAGAACTAGGACAGAACAAGAATAGAACTAGAACTGAGCTAGAACAGAATAGAAATAGGAGAGTACTAGAACTGAACTAGAACAGTGCTGGAACAGAACTAGAACAGATCTAGAACAGAACTAGAATTGAACTCTAGTCTACAGTCGAGTCTATAGTCTAGTTTATAGTCTAGTATACAGGCTAGTCTATAGTCTAGTCGATAGTCTAGTCTATAGTCCAGTCTACAGTCTTGTCAATAGCCTAGTCTATAGTCTAGTCTAGTCTATAGTCTAGGCTATAGTCTAGGCTATAGTCTAGTCTATAGTCTAGTCTATAGTCTAGTTTATAGTCTAGTCTATAGTCTAGTCTATAGTCTAGTCTATAGTCTAGTCTAGTCTAGTCTATAGTCTAGTCTATAGTCTAGTCTATAGTCTACTCTATAGTCTAGTATATAGTCTAGTCTATAGTCTAGTCTATAGTCTAGTCAATAGCCTAGTCTATAGCCTAGTCTATAGTCTAGTCTATAGTATAGTCTATAGTCTAGTCTATAGTCTAGTCTATAGTCTAGTCCATAGTCCAGTCTACAGTCCAGTCTATAGTCCATCTATAGTCCAGTCTATAGTCCAGTCTATAGTCCAGTCTATAGTCTAGTCTATAGTCTAGTATATAGTCTAGTCTATAGTCTAGTTATATAGTCTAGTCTATAATCTAGTATATAGGCTAGTCTATAGTCTAAGTCTAATAGCTATAGTCTAGTCTATAGTCTAGTCAGTCTATAGTCTAGTCTATAGTCTAGTCTATAGTCTAGTCTATAGTCTAGTCTATAGTCTAGTCTATAGTCTAGTCTATAGTCTAGTCTATAGTCTAGTCTATAGTCTAGTCTATAGTCTAGTCTATAGTCTAGTCTATAGTCTAGTCTATAGTCTAGTCTATAGTCTAGTCTATGGTCTAGTCTATAGTCTAGTCTATAGTCTAGTCTATAGTCTAGTCAATAGTCTAGTCTATAGTCTAGTCTATAGTCTAGTCTATAGTCTAGTCTAGTCTAGTCTATAGTCTAGTCTATAGTCTAGGTCTATAGTCTAGTCTATAGTCTAGTCTATAGTCTAGTCTATAGTCTAGTCTATAGTCTAGTCTATAGTCTAGTCTAGTCTATAGTCTAGTCTATAGTCTAGTCTATAGTCTAGTCTATAGTCTAGTCTGTAGTCTAGTCTATAGTCTAGTGTATAGTCTAGTCTATAGGGTAGTCTAGTCTATAGTCTAGTCTATAGTCTAATCTATAGTCTAGTCTATAGTCTAGTCGATAGTCTTGTCTATAGTCTTGTCTGTAGTCTAATCTATAGTCTAGTCTATAGTCTAGCCTATAGACTAGTCTATAGTCTAGTCTATAGTCTAATCTATAGTCTAGTCTATAGTCTAGTCTATAGGCTAGTCTATAGGCTAGTCTATAGGCTAGTCTATAGTCTAGTCTATAGGCTAGTATATAGTCTAGTCTATAGTCAAGTCTATAGTCAAGTCTATAGTCAAGTCTATAGTCTAGTCTATAGTCTAGTCTGTAGTCTAGTCTATAGTCTAGTCTATAGTCTAGTCTATAGTCTAGTCTATAATCTAGTCTATAGTCAAGTCTATAGTCTGGTGTATAGTCTAGTCTACCTACAAACTACACTAGGTTAAGTGGAAAGCATATTTGCTTTTTGTAATTTTGTCAAACCGTGTGATTAATTTATATCTTATCTGCATTAATGCAAATATATTTGGATTAATATTTAAGTATGTAATTATAAGCAACAATAAGGGCAATTGGTTTAAAAATTTAAACAAAAATCATATACATATGTAAATAACCGCAAGAAACTAAAAAACAATATTTGTTTCTCGATTTATTCGTATAGCAAAATGTGTATGAAGTATTAACTCTCACAGAGTATGTTTGCAAGAAAGCTGTAATTTCCATAGCGAAAATAAATATTCACAAACAAATTAGGGTGGCCTCAAATGTGTTAGGACAAATTCGAGATCGTGAAAGATGAAGAAGTCCTAGAAGTGTGCTAACACTTGCTCAATTGAGGTTTCTAAAAACTTGAATCTTATGAATATTATGCTATATTAAGGAAAACAAAGTAGCCCCCTAATATTAGTATGTTAACGACTTTATATAAAATGCAATTTCAAGAATATTTGAATACTTTATTTTTTAAATGTTTTTTTTTTTTGTTGCTAAAGTCGCAAACATGTTTCAATAAAATATTGCCAAAAAATAAATAAAACAATGAATGGAAAACGTTTCACGATATCAGAAAGCTTTTGGTTGTTTTTAAATAATTGTTTGCAAAATAAATTAAATTTAGTTAGATTTTGTTTATTATTTGCTTTTTTTTTTTGTTATAATCTAATTCCAACACCTCATATATGTAAGTTCATTGGCTATTAATTAAATCAATTTTATTATAAAAATAAATCAATTCAGTTGCTGACTATCATTTGAACTTAACGCACGTTACTAACAAATTTAACGGATTTACGCGAACTATTATTTATCTAAAATAATTTAAACGGATAACGTTTAACAATATAAATAAAACGAAATGTTGAAATATTCTTTATTTACTATTTCGATTATATTGTGTTGTCTTTCGTGGCGTGTCCAAACATTTGAAGAAAATACGAAATTTTGCATACGAACGGAACCTATGCTTTTATCGGAAATTGAAAAACGTATAAAACCCATTGATGATAATATAAATTGTGATATTGTGGCCACCACACTGACCGTTAATGAAAAGGTATAATACTATTTTTAATAGTTATTATCAGTTATTTTTACAAATACATTAGGGTGGTCTTTATTAAAATAATTTAAAGTAATGTGATACCAACTTGAGATTAGTGGTACAAAATTGCATAAATTTGATCCAATTTTTTTAATTAAACGAAAATTATTTTAAATACAATTATTTAAAAAAGTTATAAATTCTCAATACGCTAGATAGGTAGATATATATACAGTATTGTTCGAAACCTAAGCAACTTTTTTTGGCATTGTATACAAAGTGCTATATTTTTCTATTTAATTGATTTATTCAAATAGATAGATCGATAGATAGATAGATAGATAGATAGTAGATAGATAGATAGTAGATTGATAGATAGATAGCTAGATAGATAGATAATAGCATAGATAGATAGATAGATAGATAGATAGATAGATAGATCAGATAGATTTAGATAGCATTAGATAAGATAGATCGATAGATAGATAGATAGATAGATAGATAGATCGATAGATAGATAGATAGATAGATAGATAGATAGATAGATAGATAGATAGATAGATAGATAGATAGATATAGATAGATAGATAGATAGATAGATAGATAGATAGATAGATAGATAGATAGATAGATAGATAGATAGATAGATAGATAGATAGAAGATAGATAGATAGATAGAATAGATAGATAGATAGATAGATAGATAGATAGATAGATAGATAGATAGATAGATAGATAGATAGATAGGATAGATAGATAGATAGAATAGATAGATAGATAGTATAGATAGATAGATAGATAGATAGATAGATAGATAGATAGATAGATAGATAGATAGATAGATAGATAGATAGATAGATAGATAGATAGATAGTAGATAGATAGATAGATAGATAGATAGATAGATAGATAGATAGATAGATAGATAGATAGATAGATAGATAGATAGATAGATAGATAGATAGATAGATAGATAGATAGATAGATAGATAGATAGATAGATAGATAGATAGATAGATAGATAGATAGATAGATAGATAGATAGATAGATAGATAGTAGATAGATAGATAGATAAGATATATAGATAGATAGATAGATAGATAGATAGATCGATAGATCGATAGATAGATAGATAGATAGATAGATAGATAGATAGATAGATAGATAGATAGATATAGTAGATAGATAGATAGATAGATAGATAGATAGATAATAGATAGATCGATAGATAGATAATAGATAGATAGATAGATAGATAGATAGATAGATAGATAGATAGATAGATAGATAGATAGATAGATAGATAGATAGATAGATAGATAGATAGTAGATAGAGCTAGATAGATATAGATAGATAGATAATAGATAGATAGATAGCTAGATAGATAATAGATAGATAGATAGATAGATAGTAGTAAGATTAGATAGATAGTAGATAGATAGCTAGATAGATAGATAGCACCTAGATAGATAGATGATAGATAGATAGGTAGATAGATAGCTTAGATAGATAGATAGATAGATAGCATAGATAGGTAGATAGATAGATAGATAGATAGATAGATAGATAGATAGATAGAATGATAGATGATAGATAGATGATGTAGATAGATAGAAGATAGATAGTAGATAGATAGATTAGATAGATAGATAGTAGATAAGATAGATAGATAGGGATAGATGATAGATAGATAGAGTAGATAGATAGATTAGATAGCTAGATAAGAGTAGATAGGTCGATAGATAGATAGATAGATAGATAGAATAGATTAGCTAGATAGATAGATTAGATAGAAGTTAAGATTAGATAGATATGATTAGATAGATAGATAGATAGATAGATAGAAGATAGATAGATAGATAGTATATAGATTTCGATAGATAGCTAGATAGATAGTGATAGATAGGATAGATAGATAGATAGATAGATAGATAGATAGATAGATAGATAGATAGATAGATAGATAGATAGATAGATAGATAGATAGATAGAATAGATAGATAGATAGATAGATAGATAGATAGATAGATAGATAGATAGATAGATAGATAGATAGATAGATAGATAGATAGATAGAATAGATAGATAGATAGATAGATAGATAGATATGATTTAGATTTAGATTTAGATTTAAAATATACTTTTTTTTATCGGAAACATGATTATATTATGTTATAAACAATTATTTTCCAACCACTTTCCTTATTTGCATAACCAATGTCAAGGTTATTTGTTAAAATAATGCTATACAAAAATCTAAAATTAAATAAAATATTTACTATGTGGTTAAGCATGCATTCAGTATGTATTACAAGTATTGTTTAAAATGTTCTTTAGTTAATTGAATCATTATTATTTGAATTCTCATCTGTCTACTGGTATTATCTAATACACGAATTTAATACCATATTTGTAATATATTTTTTTTTAAATTCTCTGGAGGTTATTTTAACATAATAAGTAGTCAGTCATATTAACCAGAACAAAATGATTTATTCTACTGTGATATTATGTACATTAGGGCGGTGCAAAGAAAAAACATTTTGTATATTTTTTTCCTAGGACTAAATTTTTTATTTATTATTTTCGGTTTCACTCATATTTGTTCATTTAATAGAGTTGAGAGCTCCCCTATGAATAATGGTGACAACTGTTGGACATGATTCGGCGACAGGTTGACTTTGAAGTGTAATTTATGGAGATGACAAAATTTTATTTTACATGCTGAATTAAATGTTTATATTTGAGAATTTTTTTTTTTAGATTTACATAGTACATGTGTATTAATTCTTCAAACACATTCCCAGAGATTTAAATCGAAGAATTGATTCTCAAGGGAATAAAAAATACCTTAGAGGTTGAATATATCTCTTAAAATTGACCCAATATGTTCTCCTCTATGCCTCATATGACTGTCTTTAGTGGTCAATAGATTAGATAAACCCCTTGAAAATATTATTCTCTTTTAACAAGATTTCAGATCCTATATTGCCCTTTTATTTCTTTAATAAGAAAGCTAAATTTTAAATTTAATTCTCCTCGTTTTTAGGAAAGTTTCATTAATACCATGTGCAAAGATCATGGCAGTTCCCATAAAGATATTTACTATTACTTCAAATTACACAATGGAGATTTAATAGGACGTAGTGAATATCATGAAATATGTCAGAGTAAAAGTAATCCCTTACTGGCCTGGGTACCATATGAACAAATGCAAAAACGTTACGCTCCCGAACTGAATCCAAAGGAGGTGAGTTTTTTTATGACTCCAAAAAAATTTTACTTTTTATAAAAATTTTGTATTTGTTTTAGCGTCATAACTATATAGCCAAAGCCACCGATGTTCAGCGGGAAAAAACGGAATTGTGTTATTTCCGTCATACCGATTTAGTTTATAATATATCCGATAATTTATTCACCTGTGTGGTGATGATATTCGAAGATAATTTTGTAAGTAGAAAATTTTAATTTTCTCCAGTTTTATAGTTTAATTAATTAATTCTTAACTTTCAGTACGGTTTGGATTCCAATATAAATGTTTTGGTGGAAATTAAACCTTTAATGTATGAACTACGTAATATAACCTATTTGCCTACGTTAAATTCAACTCTTAGCTATAAAACGCTATTGGGTAAAAAGGAATTGAAAAATCCCAGTAGTGAAAAGAAAGAAATTTTTGGTAATTTAAAGTATTCCTTTGTGGAGAAGATTGATTTAAATTTGTCTACCGTTTACCAAGATGATATGATCAAATTACCCTTATTGTTTGAGCATAAAAATGCTATTTTGGAATTAGATGATAAGGGCATAGGAGGCATGGATGTTAATGAGGTAATTTAGGGAAAAAAATAAAAAAATTTTCGTTTAATTTTTTTTGATTAAAATTTTGCAGAAAGCCTATTATGGCCGTAAAATGGAACCAAAAACCAAAATCAAGGTCGATGTCATTGGCCAATGGGCAGAACATTGCGAACAATTTAATGCCGATATTTACGAATACTTTGGTTATGGCATTAAACGTTTTCGCAACGAAATGAAAAATGGTTCGGTAACATTTGTACGCATCGAAAGTACCGAACCCGTGTATGAAATTCCCGAAGAAGATGATATTGTTGTGGCAAAAATACATTCGTTGGGTGGTAAAAAATTTGAACGTCTAAGCGCCGAAGAGGATAGTTTTGGTTTCGATGGTAATGACAGCATGACTTTAAATGAATTGGATGGTAATTGGGAAGATGAAGAAGAGGGTCATACTGATAATCGTCCATATCCAGGTTTTTATCCTTGGTTTATTGTGGCTGTTCTTGTGGTTGCGGGTGTCATTTTGGCGGCAATTATGGTGTTGTACGTAATTATAGTAAGAAAAATGAAAGGCAAAATTATAAATTTACTGGTATTTAAAAGGGGGAAGAGAAAATCAATTAACAAGTATTACACTTTTACAGAAATATTGAAATTTTTACTAATATTTTTTTTTATTTTAAAATTTATAATAAAATGTTGCTTTTTATTAAAACATTTTGGGTTTTAATTAGTTAGTTAGTTAGTTAATAAGTTAAATAATTAGTTTTTAAAGATATTTAGTTAGTTGAAACCCTTGCAAAAAAATATAAATATCTTTGAAATCGGTTGGTAAAGAAAAATAATAGAAAGTGTTAATAAGATTAACATTTCGAAGGTACCTTACTTTTAGCCCTCCTAGCACCTCCTCTGGAGCATTTGTAGGCTCCATTTTTAAAACTTTAATACGTATACTCCTTGTCTATGTCCATGTCAAATTTTATTACGATTTGAGCATTAGTTTTGATTCTGTTAGAATCCAAGCGATGTGTACTTTCCATACAAATTGTGCTGCACCAATTGTAATCTCAGTAACTCTGTTTAGTTTCCTCTAATCTGGCAACATTTTGTATGTAATTGTAAATTTCTAATAAGAACTTTGTTAACTCATTCTCTCTCTTTCGCACGCACAACAATTTTTGTTTTAACTTCAGAAAAAATTCTCTTACTAGAATTTATAGGAAAAAAAGGAGAAAGAGTTAACATAACAAAACACGAGCTCAGTTTTGTTACACGGTTCTTGATAAACATTCAGTTCGTAAACGAAAATTTGTTTTAATAAATAATAATAAAAAACAAATACAATAAAACCTAAATTGAATTGAAAAGTGTTAAGAAATTCAAAAAAGCTCAATAATACGGCAAGAATTTCAAAAGAAATCTGTGAAGTTTGAAATCCATAACAAAAGAATAAAAATCAATTTTCGTAACAGGGCTAGAGCAAAAAAAAAAAGAAAATTTTAAGTTCTAAAGTGTGTGTGTGAAAGTGTTTTAAAAAAGAGAAAAAATATTAGCAAAATTGAAAACAAAATCTTTTAATAAACGCCGTAAAACAAATTAAACATTTAGTTCGAGTAATTCAATTTTAATTACACTTGGAAAAAAGGTAAGTTCATAATAATAAAAACAAATTTATTTCGCTTTTTTGCAATTTCTTTTTTATTTTTGCTGTTTGAAAAATTTGTCTGGCAACTTTAACAACAACCAGCTGTTTGTTTACCTCGACATTGTTTTACTCTTTTCTTTTTAACTTTTCCAAATAAGTAGAAAAGAGACGACTATATATTATGTGGCCAAAGTATATTTCGTTTTTCCTTTTTATTTTTGTTTCTGAAAACGAAACAACTTCGTTTTCATTTTGTTGGCAGCCATTGTGTTTTACCGACGTCAGAAGAAGACAAAAGGTCGTGCGTGTGTAGAAATTTATACAAAAAACATTTTGATTCACTAGCTTCAATTTCATTTTTCCCCAACAAAAATTCCTTAAACTTTAAGGAAAATCTAGTTATTTCGTTCATGTAAATTATAAAAAAAGTGTGTTTTTTGCAAACTCTTCTAACGGTTTATGAGTTTGTTATTGTTTTGAAAAAAAATAAAAACAAAATTAAATCACAAACAAAACTTTGAAAAACTGAAAAAAATGTGAAATTTCTTTAAATGAAAAAGAGAAAAAATTGTGCTTATAAAAGAAAACATTCATAAAATATCATCAAAGAACATTTGTTCCCTAGAAAACGCGTTATTTTTATATAATTTATTGCCTCGAAGGTAAGTTTCTTTTTAGTAAAATTATGCTGTGAGCCAGAAAATGCTTTGGTTTTTCTTGTTGTTGTTTTAAATATTTCTACATTTAAATTTTTCTCTATGAGTTTGTTTCTTTTTTTTTGTATCAACCATTACCAAATCCGGAATTTTTATATCGTTTGCATTTAGTAGTTGTGTTAGTTTGGTGGATTTTCTTCTTTTATTTCTACTACTGAAAATGCTGTGCTTTATCTTTCATCTGTGTTTTTTTTTTCTACTTTTATTTTGCACCGAAATTCTACATGAGATAAAACTATAGGTAAATTGTTGCTATGGCGTGTATATGTCTCTTTTTTTTTTTGGTGTAATTCTCATTCCATCTCTTTTTTGTGTTTTGTTTCTATTGAGATTTCTGCTAGAACAAGGTGACTCAGAAAATGTTTTTTGTTAACAGGGTGTTACTTTTTTGGCAATAAATTGCCGTTAAATTAAGCGCTGTATATTTTTAAAATTTAATCCTCGGAAAGTCTGTTCGTGAGCTTATTGACTAGTCTTTTGACTATACTATTGATTAGTCTGCTGTATACTATTGATAAGTCTGCTGTTCGTGAGTTAGACTAGACTATTGAGGAGTCTTTTGACTAGAATATTGACCAGTCTATTGACTTGTATGTGAACTATATTGTTGACTTGTCTATGGACTATTGATTAGTCTTTAACTAACTAACTAATGAGTCTTTTTACTAGTCTATTGACTAGACTATTAGCTAGTCTATTGACTAGCCTTTGGAATAGTCTATTGACTAGTTTATTAACTAGTTTATAGACTAGTGCATTGACTATTCTATAGATTAATCATTCGACTTTTCTGTGAACTATATTTTGACTATTAATAAGTCTGTCGACTTTTTGATTGACTAGTATATTGACTATACTATTAACAAGTCTATTTACTAGTCTATTGAATTGTCTGTGAACTCTATACTGTCGGCTTTTGTATGACTGGTCAATGGATTACCCTAAGATACCAGGCAACCGAGTTTTTTCCACAGTAGAACTGTTACAACAAACACCGGAGGCTGTTAGTCGGCATCACTTGGGGTATTGGATAAAGGAATCTTGTTAGCTACTGCCAGGGTAACGATTCGCATCTTACTCGGCGACCGGGTTTTTTTCCACAGTAAAACTTTTATAACAACCATGACTGAACTTTGGGTATGGATAAGGAAATCTTGTTAGCTGCTGTCAGTGGTTAATTATGCTTTGAAAATTTTGTTCAATTTTATTTAAGAAAATTATTTTCTTTACAAATATTGAAAGTTTGAAATCCATGTTTCTTGAGAATGTAGTGATGCCCACAGAACTAAGAACGATTTCTTTTTATGAATGAATTCTTAGAAAAAGAAAATATTATTTGCAAGAATTTTTGTATGAAGAGACACGCGTATTAGAGATGTCGTCCTATCCCAACTTATTTTATAGTTACAATGAAAAGTTACTCTTTAAATTACGGAAAAACGTAGAAAAAATGCGCATGTCTGAAAAAGAAGGGAAAGTGTATTTAATGAGATTTTCCCCGAATATATTATATTGTATATGTATTGAATTGGTATTATTTATTTTTTGTTATTATGAATTCATTATCATAATTGAGAATTAAGAAAAATGAAATTACCCTGAACAGGAAATTTTTATATTGAATATATTATAGATTTATCTTGATTTATATAAAAATATGTAATAAACAAAGCATTCTCTTGGCTCCACAAAAAAATAAACCAAACATCTCTTAATTACCTCTATCTATGTAATACTATTATTTACAGCCCTTTGTAAATTGGTGATATCTTAACAACATGGAACGTAAAAAAGTTCTAGAATTGGATAAAATCTGTCGTGTTTGCATATGTGAACGCAAAGATATGCGACCGCTGTTTAGTGAAAAAGTCGCCGATATGCTAATGGAATGTGCCAGTGTGTGTGTTAGACCCACTGAGGGTTGGCCCGATAAGATATGTGTACAATGTGTACATGCTGTCTCACGTTGTCATGCCTTTAAAATGCAAGTCGAACGTAGTGATAAAGAATTGCGAGAATATATTAAATCCTTAACGGTAAGAGTGGTAATAGAAGATTCGCCATCAGCAACGCAGACACCGGCCACACAACAAACCGAAATGAAAATGCATCAAACCACCACTAGAGTGGTGTTAGATGAAGCTCAAGGTTTGAAACTGCAACAAAGTCAAGCTAAATTAATAGCTTTACAGCAGCAGCAACAGTTGTTAATACAACAGCAACAAGAACAAAAGCAACAGAAGCTAATACAAAAACAATTAAAACAGCAGCAGCAGCAACAGGAACAGGAGGAAAAACAACAAATGTTACTGCAACAACAGCAGCAACAGCAGCAGCAACAACAACAACAACAACAGCAGCAGCAAATAGTTTTGCAAAATAAAAAGAAAACTTTGGCCTTAAATAAACAAAAACAACAGAGTGTGCTTAAGAAAACATCAGCAGCAGCAACAACAACAACACCAGCAACAGCAACAACAAACTATTGTGATGCAGCAACAGCAGCAGCCACACATGCAAACTATGCAACCACAACAAAATCCTCATATTTTGCAACAACAGATACTCTCCGACTCCATTACCGTACAAATCCCCGCCTTCAAACCACACAATCAATAATGAGTTCTCCTCCCTTATTACCCATTCCCACAACAAACTCCAATAACACTAATACACTAGTACCACATACCAATACTAGCACCTCCCTGCCACAACAATTAGTCCTACCAAATGGACAAATTATAACCACCACTCAAATCCTCACCACTAATAGCAATGGCCAACAACAATTGGCACAATTAATCAATCCACAACCGGCAGCACCACCGCCGGTTACTCAGCATCAAACACAATTTGCTCCCCAGTTGATACAGACGACAAGTGGTCAAACATTGCAACTGATACAGCAACCAAATGGTCAGCAAATCTTGCAATTGGTGCATATTGTTCCTCATCGTTCCGTAGTGGGAACGGGAGGCAATTCAAATACCACCACCATACTCGATGATGAACACATTACCATGGTGGATGAAGAAACGCTAATGGAACAGACTGAACAACATCTCATCGATGATGATGAAGTGGATGATCAAGGGATGGGTGATGGGCAAAGAGAACAAATCTGTGAAACCATAGTGGTGGATGAAGAACAAATGCAAGTACATCACGGCCAGCATCATCATCATCAGTTGTTGCAACAAAATGAAGATCTGGAATATCTGGATGATATAACAGTGACCACATCACAACAGCAGCAGCAGCAACATCATCAGCAGCATCACCATCATCACTCCCAGCATCAA